ATGTAGATCATAACTTCGATAACAGAAGATTCGTAACTCCGATTGACGTGAAAATTGAGGAGATTGAAGCCCTATGTATTGAGAACACTCTCTGAGAATTTCAGCAAAATCCAACGATCGAATCTTTGGCGATGATCAAATTCATGTAGGCTGTCTAGAAAATTTGCACTATCAAAATCTGCACGTTCTTCATTTTCTTTTGATCGGATCTGCTTCAGTTTTTTCGTATTCTTGCACACCAAAATCGTAAGGGAATGAGAAGATAATATATAGAATAGAATAACATTATTAGAGTGTACTTAGGAGACACAACCATGGCAGTAAACCAAGTACGATTATAATTCTCTCTTCAAACTCTTTCTTCTTTTGTTTTCTGTACATGTTAGGACTCTAAGTCTAAATAAAACATCTAAAATAACTCAAGGTAAATATTTGTTTGTCAAAATATAATATCAACACAATATGGAATTAACAAATAGCACTCTAAAAAATATGGAGTATAGAAGTACTAATCTTCAATGGATACCGAAATCTTTCCATACCGCAAGTATTCCTAAAAGAGAGTTTTGATCACTTTTAGAAAAAATTATGATGTTTTTGAGGTACGTAAAAAACAACCAATTTAGATTACTCTTACATTTAAGAATACTTTGCTGTTGAATTTTTCTAATTGAACATCTTAAATTTGTATCAAATCACCCAATATAGTAATTTTCGTATCCTTTAAAATAATAAAGGAGACTCGGATGCACGGGAATGCGACATTTGACATGTCTATTTGGCAAAAATTGAACATGTCAGCAAGCCACGCAATCTTTATATATAAAATTTGAAAGTTGGACTTCTAGAATTATGACATGTGACACGCTTATTGAGCTTTTTTTGACATGTCAGCAAGCAATATTTTAAGAATTAGTTAACCAAAAAAACTTATTCTATGGAAATTAAATTCCGTATTTGTTATGCACAAATTTCTAAACATAATCGTGTTTAAAAACTTTTATATTTTAATTCATTATTGAAAAATATTTAAATTATATAATATATTTTAAAATTGAAAAAGGAACACATATTCAAAAACAATAATCAAAACAAATAAATTTATTCTAAGAACGGATAGGTTGGTACGATTAAAAGAAATTACATGTGAATATTAGTTCTTGCTTTAAATTAATACTAATTGGAGAGATTTTCCCATTTTTAAAATAGAGAAACAAATATATAAAAGGAGAGGGATTTTTATGGGCATGTTTATTTAATAGAGAATTTTTATTCCGTATATATTAAAAAAATTCTAAGTCAAATAACAATTATGTTCCATTTTAAAATTATTATTTTCCATATTAAAATTATTTTCCATTGCTAAGTTTGTAAAAATTTATATATTCGTGCCACAAAACTTACTATTTTCCATAAATAACTATGTAAAATGATGAAAACTTGGTACGGATGTATTTATGTGTAAGAAATTAATTATTAATTGATATTCCTAATTGAAATAATTATGGTATGATATTAATTTTTATAAGTGGAATTACTTTTAAATAAAACTCTTGAAGAATATAAAATGTGCTTATCTTGACATATATGTCAAAATAATGTAAATAAGTAATATTCTTACTTATTTATTTATTCGACCATTAACAGCAATGTAACAAATGTTAGTGGATAATAATTTTCATATATTTAAAGTTTTTAGATAAACATTAGAATATTTATTTAAAGATAACTATTACAGATACAGAAGGAGAGAGATCTTCATTGACTATAATCTCGCATCATCAAAAAGGTTCGATAAATAATGTACTCTATGACGTGACAAATGATATATTTTTTATTTTAAATTATAGATTTTAATTTTTTCCATAAAGTGCACCCTTTTTAATACGGGTATGTACTATTTATATGTGTTTGATAATATAATACTCATGAAATATTATTAACATACTAAACAAAACAAATTCTTCTATTTGTTTCATATAGTACGGACAATAACTTTTTGGATATTGATAGAGGTTTAGTCGAGGATTTGAGAAATATGATAGATGAGCATAATGACTTAACACAAATTTTTAGAAAAACTAGAGACTTCATGGATAATGGTTCCACTTCTAATGTATCATTGAGGCTGTTGAAAAGTAGAACTAGAGGCTCAAGAAATTATAATATCTCCTTAGTACACGAAGTTGTTGATCTAATAGTTAGAGATCTTGATTCATTTAATGAAGAAAGATACATCATCATCGCGATGAGAAATGCATTGGATTGCACAATGAGAGATGTAATGAGGGTCACTCATAATAACTCCATAAATGAACTATTCGGAGGGAAAATAATTGTACTTGTAGGTGATTTTATCCATATTCTTTCAGTTTTACTCAAAGTTTTGAGAGAGAAAATTATCGGTGTTACCACCAAGTCTTTAAAAATATGGTTGTATTGTAAAGTTATACATTGACCAAGAATATGAGATGACATTCATCTATAGCCTATTGCAAAAATGGGAAACACATACATGCTTTTTTTGATTGGATAATCAAAGTTGAAGATGGAAAGCTTTGACAAGTGATTGATGAAATTGTTGACGTTGAAATCCCTTATGAATTCTTGATTCTTGACCCAAGTACCCCCTCAAAAGTACAGTAGATTTTACTTATTCAAATCTATTGGAGAACATGAAAAATTAATCTCTTTTTAGGATCGTGCACTATTGGCACCTGCGCTCGAGGTCGTTGAATGGTAAATGAAGTTGTCTAATCCCTTATTCTAGGAGGTGATAACGAGCACTTAAGTTCGGATTCTTCATGCCAAAAATATTCAGATATAGGTGTTGAAGACGATTGGATAATAATTAATTTTTTTAATGAAATCAAATGTTCGAGAATCCAAAGTCACAAAATAATTTTAAAAAGGGGGTACCAGTTATGTGTTTGAAGATATATTAAACAAATATCAAGATTGTGTAATAGTAGAAAATTAATTGTTGAAGAGATGCAAAAGAACATTAACAAAGCAATTATGATTTCGGAAAATCAAGTTGGGAAAAAGGTTTACATACCCCGAATGAAGTTCCAGGGAAGATAATTCTCAATAGTCTTATATTTTGCTATAACTATTAACAAAAACCAATGTCAAACATTGTCTTTTTCTTATACCCCGGGATATTATTTTTAACCAATTCGGTATTTAATTACTCATAGTCAACTTTATGTTACCGTTTCAAAAGTGAAGGTAAAGACATGATTAAAAATATTAGTTCTAAATGACAATTAAACCCTTATAACCATACCAAAAATGTTTTGCACCCTGAAGTTTTTTAGAAAATTTGGAATTAAAATGACTTTCTTGAGTACATTTTTAATTCCTCAAATATTGTATGTTTTACTTTAGCGTTGTTCTTTATTGATTAAAATCGTGTTAGAAATATATTTACCTGATTGTGAAAAATATATTGCATTGAAAAAATTCAGAATCGTCAAAAATTTCACTCAACCTCGTACATGGCATGGGTTAAAATACTAGTACAATTAAAATTGAAGTTCAAAACTTTGACAAAAAAACTAGATGACAAGAAATTACCGACATAAACAAGTAAAAATGGCTTCAATAAGAACCAGCCATAGAGAATAGTACCTAACACTTTGGTTATTTGCTTAGAGCATTAGCAATGGCGTTCCATCACCAAGCCACGCTCTGCCACATCAGCGTGTAGAGGATGTTGCCATGCGTGTCTAGGGCGAGTCACCCCTATATTCGAGTAGCCTGCGAGGCAAAAGTTCTCTATAAAAGAATATTTTTTTTGTTTCCTTTTTATTTTTCATTTTTTTCTTTGGATAAGAAAGGAGATCTGTGGGCTGTGGCCATTCACTCACCCGTATTTGTTTTCCATTGTTTTGTATTTATTTATTTATTTTCTTTGGAGAAGAAAGTACAGATTTGGTCATCAATTGCCCTCATCTACGGAGTATTTTTTTTCTTTGTTACTTTATAATAAAATAAATAATTAAAATACGAGGCATTTTTGATAATTAAAATTCTCGAAAAATATAAAAGTTACAAAAATTAATGACTTGCCACTGTAGAGTGTGCCACTCCACTCATTTGACACTCTATGACTAGACTGCTTTTTATTGGTTGAAATATGACATGTCAGCGTGTGACAATCCTTTAGTGCTCTGATTTCAATCTATTTAGTGGCTTATGGTGCTTTGTTGGATCCAAGAATGATACTTCATGATTTCCTTAAATGATTGTCACATTACCTAAAATGAAATGAAACTTTATGTTTTTTCAGTTTACTGTGTACAAAAATTGGTATAAAAATAAAAAATGAATGTTACATATTTAAAAATTATGTTCAACGTTTTTCAAAACAAGAAATAAATTATGACAACAATATTTTATTTTATCAAATACAAAATGCGAGTAATAAATAAAAATGAACAAAAAATAAAAATTTTTGTGATTTTTAAATAGTGAAATTTGCACTGAATAGAACTAAAAGATAAGTCATTTTCCAATGTAAGACTTAAACTATTTATTCCCTAAATATAACTTAATAATGACTAGTGAGAAGAATAATGTCCAAGTGATGTTAGACATTTAGTTGAATAATGACTGATAGATAATAACCAATGGTCCTACATTGAGAAATAAAAACATATAATCTTATATTGAGAAATTAATTATGTTTTTTTCCTATTTAGGTAAAGTATTCTTTTAAATAATGAATTTGAGCATTTTTTAGGCAGAGAGAATACGGTAATACGAATGGTCACGTCAGAGACTTATGTGTGAACGTGCAATGAGTCAGTGCCACCAAATCATCAACCGAAGGAAAGGAAATGATAGAACAGAAATGTGAGGGTCCAGGCCGACAACCTTAGCTGCCGATTCTATAGTTGGCGGGGCACAGATGGGCCTCTATTCCCCACTATTTGTGAAACCGGCCCATTCTAACACCTTTTAACTCAAACAACATTCATTATGTACTTGGGTTAAACATGCAGGGACAGATTTGGAAGATCTCAGAAGTGAGTACGACGTAAGCGGTGTGACGAAGAGTAGCAGGAGGAGCAAGCACAGTGTTATCGGCGGCGAACTCGCCATTGTTCTATATTTTATCACTGTCAATTGCCGCCTAACCCATCTCCAAAACAGTACTCCGTAATTTATATCTTAAATTTAGGACAGACACGTTTTATCTACTTGAGTTTTCTTGGAACAATGTTGACTATTATGAGTTCAAATATCATAGTTGTATTTCGAATTCTACCAAAAATCTCAAATTTAGTAGAATTCGGGATATATATTTGAACTTATAAGAGTCAACATTATTCCAAGATAATGCAAATAGATTACAACGTTTCTGTCCTACATTTAAGATATAAATAATGTTTTGGAGATGGGCTAGGCTGCAATAATTGACGATAAAGTATAGAACAATGGCAAGTTTGCCGCCGATAACACTGTGCTTACTCCTCCTGCTGCTCTTCGTCGCACCGCCTACGGCGTACTCACTTCAGAGATCTTCCAGATCTGTCCCTGCATTTCTCAACAAATTCCTGCGCTTACCCTCCAAGGCCGTCGGCGGCGCCACGCCCTACAAGTACGAGATTCGCTACTTCCAACAGCGGCTCGACCACTTCAGCTTCGCCGATCTCCCCCCGTTTCGCCAGCGTTACCTTATCAGTACCGAGCACTGGGAAGGCCCGTCTCGCCTTGCCCCCATCTTCTTCTACTGTGGCAACGAAGGAGATATAGAATGGTTTGCCGCCAACACAGGTCTCGTCTGGGAACTCGCGCCTCGCTTTGGCGCCATGGTCATCTTCCCCGAAGTAATTTTCATACCAATTTTTTTTAGTATCTGAATATCAAATTTCATAAGCTTATCTCTGGTAACATTTGCTAGCACGGAGAGATGTGAGCAAAACTCGGTAGAATTTTAATTAGGGTTTGAAATTGAAATTGGCAGCACCGATACTATGGTGAATCAATGCCCTTTGGGAGCAGGGAAGAAGCTTATAAGAACGCGTCTACATTGGCGTATTTAACATCCGAACAGGCATTAGCAGATTTTGCTGTGTTAATCACTGAGCTCAAACGGAATGCTTCTGCACAATCGTGTCCTGTCATTTTATTTGGAGGATCATATGGTGGAAGTAAGACCAATTCTTTCCATCTGATTTTCATTACTCGGTATGATTTTGCCCGAGATGATTTGTGATTTTTATCCTTTCCTTGGATGCAGTGCTTGCAACATGGATGAGGCTTAAATATCCTCACCTTTCCATAGGTGCACTTGCTGCTTCTGCCCCAATCCTCCAGTTTGAAAATATTGTGTCGCCCGACACATTTTACAACATAGTCTCCAACAATTTTAGAGTGCGTTGTCCACTTTTGTTTCTTTTGGTCACTAGCTTAGATGTATATTATACTTGGAATTGTGGTAATCAATGACTCCTTTACTGACAGCGTGAGAGTGTCAGCTGCTTCAACACTATCCGAGAGTCATGGGATGTAATAATGTCTTTAGGAATGACAAACACTGGACTTTCGCTACTGAGCAAGACTTTCCATCTTTGTGGGTGAGTGCGTACATGACAATGGCTGTTTCTTTTGATATAAACTTTTCCATTTCGACATTTATGTAAGACATCCTTTTGTTTTAACTCTTTTTCTGTGGAGTTTTTGAATCCGACGTGGCTTCTATAATGATAGGGAACTAAAGAGTGCTGAGGACCTTTCTAACTGGTTGGATTCTGCATATAGTTATTTGGCGATGGCTGATTACCCATACCCTGCAGATTTTCTAATGCCTTTACCAGGAAATCCAATAAAAGAGGTTTGCTTTACCTTCTAGTTTTCATCTTGATTTGGTGTTTCTTTAAAGTTGACAGCAAAGTGATTAGTGTGTGTGTGTGTGTGCCTATATGCTTCCTCATTCCCAGAAAGAACTTCATTTTTTTACTTTACGGAGTTCAAGAAAAGTCTTTCGGTTGACTTTTTAAAGAGAGAAAGTTTGTAGGCCACATATTTTTTTAACATTTAAACTATGTTTGGTTCAAGGAATTAGGAAGGAAAAGAAAAGAAAATGGTTTTCTCTCATTTTCCTCACCAAAATGAGATGAATTTTGATTTCTCGTCTCTTAGGTTCATTTTTCTTTTCCTTCCACTTTCTTTTCTTTTCCTCTCTAACCAAACAAGAGAAAATGTTTTCCATCTCATTTTCTTTTCTTTTCCCTTTGAAATTTCTTGAACCAAACATAGTGTTAAAAGGAAAAAGTAGAAGGGTGACATCCAAAAAAACTGTGAAGTTCTCTCTGGGCTGGAGGGAATGTGTGTACGTGTGTGTGTGTGCGCGCGTGTGTATTCTCTGGGTTTGTATGTTAGCCCTTAGATTCCATAGTTTCTGTGTCTTGAATGAATCTTTTGCAGCTTTGATCCTAACACTTCCAAGAAGTCCGAACGTTTGTTGTCACACACTTGACCTTGTTTTCATATAGATTTCCAGTTAAAATCCAGATCTACTAATTTTCACTATTTCTTCTTGTTAAAATCCACATCTACTAATCCACATCCGGTTATATTTCCATTTATCACCATTTAATATATATTTTTTCAGGTCTGTCGGAGAATGGATAGTTTACCCAATGGAACCAATATTCTGCAGCGAATATTCGAAGGAATTAGTGTCTACTACAACTACACTGGAACGGTTAACTGTTTCAGCCTTGATGACGATCCTCATGGCATGAGTGGTTGGGACTGGCAGGTGCATTGATGCTACCACTTAAATATTCTTGCTCCTTTTGCGGCCTTTTTGTTCTAAAGCAAATTTACAGGTCAGAACATGCAATTGTGCTTCCTCTAAAAAGTGTTTATTTTACAGGCATGCACTGAAATGATTATGCCAATGGCAAGTAACAAAAACACAAGTATGTTCCCAGCGTTCGAGTATGACTACAAGTCTGATGAAGAGTATTGCTACAAGAGTTACCATGTCACTCCAAGGCCTACATGGATAACAACAGAATTTGGTGGACATGTATGCCTCTCATTTCATACCTTTATATACTCCCTCCATCTGGATATAGTTGTCCCCTTTTGCCCTTTCTAAAAAAAAATCTCATTTTCAAGAAATGTGTGTAAAATGTCAAACAAGTCCTTCAAATGAGTTGGTCACTGATTCATATCAACAATGCTCATACCGGTATCCCTTAGATATTTTAGGCAATTCATCATTATTTTCTTATTGAATATACACAGTGGACAACAAATTCCGTACAAACGAAAACAAGAAAGGGGACAATTACATTCAGACAGAGGGAGTACATAATAACAGGAAATCATATTTTTGAGCCCCATTTGGTAACCAATTGTAAGCAGAATAATCAGTAAAGTGAATGTTTTTTTTAGAGAATAAAGCAGATTAAGACATAATTGCCTAATTACTCTTACTCCCTCAGTCTCAAAATAAACTTCTCATTTTTCTTTTTTCGGTTGTCCAAAATGAACTTCAAATTTCTTTTAAGGAAAACATTGAATGGTTAACATCATTTCTCTCTCTAGAGAGTCTTAACCACACAATTTCGATTTTCTTAAATTTTGTGAACTACTAAAATCTTAACCACACCTTTTCACTTTTTCTTGAACTCCTTGAAAAAAGCCAATGAAAAGTTTGATTTTGGGAGGGGCGAGAGAGTATTACCAAATGGGCTTCATTTCCCCTCTTATTCATTGATATTACGGCATCTAAACATGTTCATATTTTGAAAAATTTATTCCTCTGTTGATAATTTTGACACAATAAGACTCTAAAAATATTGTTTACACCGTTAAATGTTAGGGTGTATAGGTGGGTTTTATATCAGCAAAAGAACCCACATAAACCTAAATACAAAATACGGAGCAATGATTTCAAAAGTGGGAAGGAGTGCATCTCACTCATAAGTCATAACAATTGAGGGAGTATTGCAACAACAGCAGCAAAGCCACTGTATTCCTACAAGTGTGATGGGGGAGGGTAGGATGTATGTAGACCTTACCTCTAAGGCTCTACCTGTGAAAGGTGGACAAACTGTTTCTAATATACCTTGGCTCAAAAGGAATAGAATCGAGGTGGGTTTGCCATAAAATTGGCAAACAAAGAGTATAGGTCCGTTCCGGAATACTTAATGTCAAATAATTGAGAGCCTATAAGTGTAACTGTCCTCATTTACTTGTGAATGCGAGTAATTTTGAAATTGCTGCTAGAACTTATCAAATTTCTAGGAGTCCTAAATGGATTCTTGACACACTCTGGTCTTCTTTTCTTCATCATAAGAACAAAGCCGATTTTTCTTGTTTGAAGGACATCAAGACGGCTCTTGGGACTTTTGGTAGCAACATCATATTCTCAAACGGTCTCTTAGACCCATGGAGTGGTGGCAGGTACTTTTTTACCCATTACACACATTACAATATACAATATGTGGCTGAAAAGTTTTGATGGAAAATTGGGAATGGATCTTGTGTTGCAGCGTTCTAGAGAACATATCAGACACCATTGTTGCTCTTGTTACTGAAAGAGGTAACTTCATTTTTATTTCATATGTGCTCTTGGCTGGCTTGGTCACATTAAAGAATTTGGTTTCAACTACTGACTGAAAACTCATAGTGATCCATTTTGGACATTATTAATGTACCGAATATAGGTCACATTATTATCACATTTCTACCGAATTCATGAACCCCATTTGTCTTAGGTGCCCATCATTTAGATCTACGTGCAGCAACGGCCGAGGATCCGGATTGGCTTGTAGACCAAAGAGCATCTGAAGTAAAGCTGATCGAGGGCTGGTTGAACCGTTACCTTGAGTCTAAAAGGGTAAATTTTCTTCCCTTACAGAGTGTCTAGCGGTCTGGTACAAGGAAACCAACTGAACCTAGCTAAGCTAGGTGGCGTGCTTGGAAAGAAGGGGCGATGAGTGAAACCTCCAGCGACCCAACCCCTCTCGGTAACACTGTAAATTTTGTACATTTAGTATAATTGTGTTAAGTACTTATGTACGGAGTGTACCATGCATTATTATTTTATGCAAACTGTTACTAGCTGTATCTTTAAGCATCATATTTCATGAGTTGTTTTTCAATAGGCTAACACGTTTATAGGTGTGAAACGTTTTTTATTCCAATAGGGGTAGCAATAAAAACACACAATATTTTTAATTTATACTCAGGGTATTCATTTATGTAAAATGAAAGTACCAGCAACTATTGTACGTAAGTGTGTATCATTTTATATTAAATGCTGCGGAAGTGATTAAACGTTAGAAACTGATATAGGGCATGTTTGGGAACAACGTTAGAGATTAGCGTTAGCGTTTTGGATAAAATTTAAACGGTGTAGATTATTTTGAAAATCCCAACGCTAAACGTTGCCCGTAGATAGCCTTTTCAAAACGTCAATGCTAATCTCTAACGTTATTCCCAAACAAGCCCATACTCTAGTTGTTTTTTTCTTTCTAGTTTTTTCCAACCATTCCCATTTTCTTCAAACTCCTATCGCCCAAATGATTACTTTAACAATGATGTACTTTTAATGTGATTATCATCATCATCATTATCATTATTATCACAATAATAATACTTAGTATGATCTCCATTATAGTTATTATTACTCCGTATTATTATTATTATTTCATAACTATAGTATATAAATTATTTCACTTTTTAATTTTTCTATGTCACTATTTTTATGATTGGGACTCTTCTAAATTGATACGAGGAAAACATTTTTCAAATTTTTATAAAAAATTTTGAAAGTTAAAATATTTTAGAGAAAAAACCTAAACTAGGAGTAATACATAAAAATTTACCAAAATACAAGTTCTATGTTTTTTAATCCCAAAATAAGTTACAATGTCAATAATGAAAGAAAAAATAGATTTGATTATATTATGTGACAGAGGTAATATTTAAAATAAAATCATGTAATATATAAAAAATATTTGTTTTTTTTTTAAAAAATTTGATTATATTATGTGACAGAGGTAATATTTGATTCTATTATGTGACAGAGGTAATATTTGATTCTTCCTTCCCATTTCTTTTAGTTACTTAGGTTTCTTCCAGTTTCTTCTAGTTCTTCTAATTTCTTTCAAAATCCAACTCTTTTTTTCTTAATAAAATAGAAGGAATCATATTTTCTTCTTTGCTTATTTTAGTTTATCATTTTATTCTATTTTATAGCTTATCAAATTTATATGTGTATAAAAGATACAACAATAATAACCTAGTTAGAATCCCTGAGTAAGATATGAGTCATACATGAGCATGCAAGTCCGTGTAAAGCTCAGAAAATTACTCGCGGATGACGCGAGTTTTGTGGAAATAACTTTCAGGTCCTTCTATTTTCAAAAAGACAACCAAGGTCCTTATATTTTGTTGTAATGACTGAGAGGAGACATTTCATCCAATACATCATCCGTAAGTGTTGATAAATGAATTTTTTTCCTATTTTTCTAATACTTCTTTTTCCTATTTTACCATTACCTTGTTTTTTCTTTTTTTAAATTTTTTTTATTTCATTTGTTTTAATATAATACAAACAATTTTAAATTTTTATACGATTTTATAGAAGAAATTCTAAAACAACACTTTAAAAAAATAGTAACAAAATGAAAGAAAAACAAAGAAATAAAAAAAGGAGCGACCTAAGATTTATTACTTAAAACATTTAGAAAAGAATAGGAAAAAAATACATTTATTAACGTTTATAGATGAAATATTGGATGAAATGTCCCCTTCCAGTCATTACAACAAAATGTAAGGACCTCTGCTGTTTTTTTGAAAATAGAGGGACCTGAGAGTTATTTCAATAAAACTCGCGTCACCCGTGAGTAATTTTCTGAGCTTGTGATAGAAACTATGGAGTAGTTAACTTCTATAGAAATCATTCTAAATATGACTAAAACATAGAGAAAAGTATTAAAATAGGATTTTCATGTTTTTTTTCTGGAATAGGACTTTGCATTGTAGTAATGTGACTTTACATTGTGGTAATGTGGCAGTGTACATGTGCAAATTACTATACTTTTTTGGTAATGTATATGACCATGTTTGGTAATGTAAGTCTTATTTAGAGAATAAAAACATGAAAGTCCTATTTTGATATATTTTCAATGTTTTAGTCTTACTTTGGTCTTTTTCTCTAACTTGTATGAACTGCAAAAAAAATAATCTGAATTTGTGTAAATGCTCAGAAAGTCCTTTAACTTTCTAGAATTTTAATTAGTTGTGCTCCACATAAAACATCTATTTTTACACGGATTTTCATTTTTGTGCATTTTTGGTTATAATATGTTAATATTAACATTTTTACGGAATAAAGTTAAAGAAAAAATTGAAAAAAATAAATACAAATTATTTAATTTTATTTTAAAGAAATCTAATTTCATTCTAAAACATTTAGAAAAAGAAATTTTGAATTAGAGGTGAACAAGTACCGAACTGACATCAAAAATTTTTGAAAAAAATGAGAAAATTGAACCGAAAAATATAGAATCAAAAAGATACCGCTAAAATACGGTATCGCACCGAACCGAATGTTTAGTTCGGTATTAAGAACAGTACAAGGTAAGTTTCGATATTGAAAATCTTGAGCTGAATATATATATATATATATATATATATATATATATATATATATATATATATATATATATATATATATATATATATATATATATATATATATA